AAGAAAGCAGAAGGATACCTGGAAACATTAGTGTTTTGAAATCGACACGATAAGTTTGATGAGTTCATGAGCTCTCCGGGCTGTTCCAGGCCGAAGCAGGTGCGCACAAGCTTGTGACTGGGTCCGTCTCATCACTGGTGAGTGCCATGTCCTGTGCATTACTACTAGCTTCACAGTGACAGGTAAACAGTTCTTTCTTGATGGTAGGATCACAGAGAAAGCAATGAGGAAGACACAATTTCTCTGTGAATAAACTACAATAAAGCTACATCTGTAACCATTCGTTGAAGCAAATCAATCTCCAAAAGCGAACATTGATTACCAGTGAGTATTGTAGAGGGTCATTGCTCCGGTAGAGCTGACCCAGTCCCCTCACCTGTTTCGGATAAGAGAATGGGGTCATCATCGATGGGTGATATAAATTGTGGGTCACAGAGGCTTTTGGCTGAGCACTCTGCGTTCCTCAGTCTTCATCATCTCTGGATCTTAAAGAGCATGCATCAGAGCTTTCACAGATTTAGAGACTTGCGCGGACGAGTACTCTGCACTCGTCTCAAACTTTCCATTTTCTCAGAAAATAAAATAAAATTATATTCAAACATCATGTGTTATGTTCATCTCTCTAATCCAAACTAAATCTTTCTTTCCTCTCAACAAGACTATAAGATCCTATCTTAATTATTGTGATTATCTTATTTTGCTTTGAATGCATTGTAAGCGAAAATTAAACTGTTAACAATAGTCATACCGACATCTAATTCACTTAAAAGGATGAAATCAAATTTCTTATATATATATATATATATATAATATAATGCTGATGAGAATACCTGAAGTCTAAAATTCACATTTACTTACTAAAATTAATTAGTTTTAGTTAGATTGAAAATAATTCGAGCCGAATTCAAATAACGTTGCAATGCGGCTCGTGGATCTCAGTCTAATTATAGATTGGGTCAGGTCAAGTTGGGCTCCAGTGGACACGTGCGGATGCTACTAGTATACACCAGCCCGTGTGAGAGTACCGGCTCGAGAAGGGCTCCGAAGACCCTGGAAGCTTCGAGAACCCTCCCGGTTTAGCCGATCCGGAGCTAAGAGTCGTCCCCGATTTAGACAAGCGGCTGCCTATAACGATCCTCGCCTGCCTCTTCCAGGGTCTTCGCTTCCCCAAACTCGTCGGAGAGCCGCCTCGGTCGACCTTGCGATCCGATCTCGTTCTTCTCCTTCTTCTCTTTGCGTCGATCGGTTCTTATCTTTTCGCCGGGCCTTCGATTCCTCGAATCCGGTAGGGTAGCGGCGATTTACGTATGGAGGGCGGCGGGGTGGCCGAGAAGCAGGCGTCCTACACCTACTGGGTGAGGGAGACGCGGGAGGACGCTGCCCCCCTTCCGGTGCCCCGCAAGCTCTCTGCCGACGACATCTCCAAGCAGCCTCAGCCCAACACCCTGGGATCCGTCTGGAATCAGGTCCCTTCCCCATCGCTTTCTCTTTGTTTCTTTTTTGTTCTAATTTTGGTATGTGATGTAACGTGGGGTTAATGGTTTGACGCTAGTTTTAAAGTAAGACAAGGATGGATTGTGTGCATGACATGAAGCTCGTCTGTAAGCAGTATTAATTTTTATGTCATTTGAAAGTTTGAGCAGACAAGCTTAACTGTGAACTATTTTTTAGAACTTATGGCGATATCTACTCTGTTGTGCACAGAAAAGGATAAGAAAAGACAAGAAAATATGAAGGAAGAAGAAAAGGAAAGAAAAAGATGAGAAAATAAGAGATAAAATAAAAATAGAAGAGAAAGTAAAATGGAATTACTTTTTCGCATTTAAAATAAACATATTTAGAATTATTTAAATTGTAAGGAACATATATTTTTAGATATTTTAGTTTAGAATCATATATACGTACCAGTATGTTAAATTTGCACCGTGTTAAGCCGTAATCTTATATTCCTAAATTTGAGCAATAAGCATGGCGTTAAGATTGAGCAACATAGATTCTCATTTTACTGTAGTCATTAGTCACACTTACAGGTGGTTATTAATATATCTGAAAAAAAGGAAATCTAGTGTGCAAAACTCTAGTCAATACAATGTCTATGTAGGTAATCTAGTGGTTATTAATACACTATTTTAACCCTTCATTTAGTGAAGCCTTTTGATATATTTATTTATAGATTTGTCAATGTCATATGTCTAACAATATGCATTTTAGATCTCTTATGTTTTGCTTATCTTGCTTGGTAAGATATGGTTGGTCACAGTGGGAGAATGTGTTGGGTTGCCTTCATCCTATGAAATATTGTATTTTTCCTCGGTATTGTTTTTATCAGCTGACAGTTTAAGATGCTTCTCATTTAAACTAAAAGTGTGCTCACAAGCTCTGTGAGATAAGATTTTTTTTGTATTGTTTCTTTTTTCATGCATGCCTTGATAATTTGGATAAATTTGCAGGCTGGAACCTGGGAGGAGAGAAACCTTAATTCATGGGCAAGTAACAGAATAAAGGTACGAAACCTTATAAATTCATAGATGAAGAGTATGTACGTTGGCGTGAATCTTTTGAAATACCTTATTCTCTTGTTGTTTGAGAAAATGAAGATGGATTTGATCTCGAATTTCAGGAGTTGCTCAAGTCGATAGACTCACTGGAATTCTCTAATGGTAAAGCATATATCGATGATGTGTCCAAATGTTCAGGCGATGTAAGTATAAAACCATTTAATCCATAATTTCAGTTTGGTTGTTGTTTATCACAGTTCTACTTTCCATGTGTGAAGCCTTACGTATGGAGTTAGCACATGTAAGATTAATCAATCTGTGGCCATTAGGTCCAAAAGGAACTCTATCTGGAAGTCCTGTTTAGATCTTGAGCTCTTCCTGAGTTTTAGGTTTCTATGCTCTACTTTTAGGGTCTAGATATCCTTAAATATGGAATAATCATCATTCTCCGTTATTCATTCTTTGCTTGAATATGTGCCCGCATCTGATCCTCTTATTTCTATAAATGTAATATTTTGTGGCATCATATGGTTCTATAAATGAAACGTCAAGAAACACCTTTGCAGGAAAGACACCAGCCATATGGCTCCAACAGAATTCTTAAACAAACTATAGATTATACAAGATAGCCTGAACTGACTGATAATATTTCCTCATGTCATTGAATATCTGATGTAGTATATGTTCCTCTGTGTCCTTGACATGTGTATCTTACAGACTAAGAGTTGATGAATCATTGAGAAATCAGTGCAGATATATTTAAAAATTATCAGTGTTTGGTTTGATTCAATTTAAGAAAAATAATGCTGGCTCATTAAATATTGAAACTCAAATATCTGTCCTTTTTAGGATAGTGAGTGAAATGATTAAGGCTGTTTACCTGTTTTCTTTGTGTGCAAATGCACGACATATTGTGCCATTCTGTGTTTTTCTTTGACATCTGGTTAGCTGGTTTAATAATGTATCAAATGGCCAAGCAGAACTTGGTTTCTGTGCTCTTTCTTCTTAATCTTGAAGTATTTATTGATTATCTTTATTACTTAAGCACCTAATGCCTTAAAAGCTACTAACATAGCATTATATTATTGACTGTGTCGAGCAGGCTTTTCTTGTGACAGTGCGAAATAAGAAGAGAGTTGGTTATACCTACGAATTAACTTTGAAGTTCAAAGGTAGAGTACTTCTTTTGTCTTGGTGACTCCAGATCTGTTTCTTTTGCCTTGTGGTATAAGCTCATTGAGTTGTGGAGCAGGCGAATGGTTGATTCAAAATGAGAACAAGAAGATCAAAGGTCACTTAGATATCCCTGAGTTCTCATTTGGTGAACTTGAGGATCTGCAGGTACATGCCCTATCACTACCATCTAGTATATCATCTAATTCACAAATTTAGGCAGCGTTTACTTAACTGTTATTAATTCATGGTCTGACAAAATCAGATCAATGTTGCAGTGTAGCATTTCATAATGATGTCTGCTCTTGCAGGTAGAGGTGAGTCTCAGTGAGGAAAAGGATTTGGCAGCCAAAGATAGAATGCAGATATGCAAGGATCTGAGGACATTTTTGATACCTATCCGTGAGAAACTAATGGACTTCGAACAAGAGCTGAAGGATCGGTAGAAGAAGAGCCCTTGTTTTGGTGCAATTTGTTTCATCTGGGATTGTTGTGGCTCAAGCCTCCTCTTGTTTGTACAAGATTATGTTATCAATTGAATCTAATCACCCACGACTTTATAACTATTGAATCTAATTGCCCATGACTTTTATGACAATTGAATCTAAATGCCGTAACATGCTCTTGGAGTGTTGGTATGTTTTGTGCGATCTTCCCAGTTTGAAACCTTTATTTGTCTAATCACTATGTTACCTTTTTATTTGCTTTTCTTTAGATTTGTGCTCGTGGATTTCCCAAGTCGACAAACGAAAACAGAGATTTGTCGACTTGGGAAATCCACGATCAGCAGACTATGATCGGTGGGATCAGCAGACTCGTGATGTGAAGCTTCTTCAAACTCATTTGAGCGTATTGTGTCTACTCTCTTGTCATTTCACAGAGCTTTGTCATCGTTGTACAGTTGTATTTTGTTTTCTATCCAACTTTCGTGGTAAAAAAAGTTACAGATCGATCCTTCTTTGGCTACAAATTGTTTGCTGATTGTTGCTCTGATGCTTTTCCTGTTTTCAAACATTTCAGCATCAGAGGCTGCCAGAAGAACCCGAGTGGTGCAGAGACGTACTTGGGTATGTATCGGGTACTGTTTCTTACTCGTTTCAACTCCTTTCAGAAAAATAGATGATATGATATTATGTTTCAGACTGAGAGTTGAACAGATCCATTTGTTAAATGGCTTGTCAGCATAAAACCTTTAGCAGATATATATGTATATTTTTTTCCTTTTATACATGTCTAAATCTTTAGCCCTCCGATGGAACTAAAGATCAGCTCCTCTACACTAAAGAAATCGTCATCCACTGGAATCACTGCTCCTCTGCTGAAACTGCGAACCCAAAGCAAACAGTTGATGCCTCGCAACCAGCTTTCGCGTTCCACATCCGAAACAATGCCCGCCTGCTATCTTCAGGGTTTCTTGTCTTCTGCAAAAAAATTATTCCCATTCGGCCATTTAGGTGTGTTGAATGACCAAAGGAGTTTATACATTTGCAGTGTTGAATGCTTGAAGCAAAAACAGTAATCAAATGTTGCTGGTCGGTGTGTGATAGATTTTGATTTCTGGTTGATGCATGGTAAGCTAGCAACTGATGTGAGGAACTCACGGACTGGAGAAGGGTCAACATGTACAAAGAAGCTGGCAGCTACTATTAGGTAGCAAAGAACGAGCATTAAACCTTTGAAGTAGTTAGAAGTACCCTCCTGGAACAAAAACCATCATATCAACTTGTGATCACATCATAAATAGCAAGAATGATGATTAGATTCTACTGGATCTTAGTATAGTCCAGAGATTTTGCTGCGATTGCTTTCGAAAGGCCATCTGGAAACAGATTAATCTTCTTTTCTTAACATTTGTAGTACAACCAGAAGCTTACCTGCAACATGAAGGCTACAACTAATACTGTAATGAAGAGTGATGCTGTCTCAAAAAGTTGGAAATTTAGGTCCATTGGTCGTCCCAGTATCCACCCTACCACCACACAGAAAGGGATCTGCATGGTGAATACATGCAATGGAATAGCATGAGATAGATTGTTCGTAAAGACCCTGCTGAAAACAATATGTTGGGCTGTCCATGGTGAGTAAAGATGATGATTACTGGGCATACCCCAAACATGGATATCTGTGTTGATGACCCAATAGCAACTCCTAGAGAAATGTCCTGGAGAAAAGATGATAGAGAAGCTTCCTCAAGATGATCAAGCAGTACAACTTCGAAGATTTAAGGGATGTGGAGCCTTACGAGCTTGTCCTTCATGGCAAACATGATTGCACTCGCATGCTCAGCTGCGTTCCCCACGATCGGCAGCAAAATGACGCTTATGAAAGCAATAGGAATGTTCCATGCGGCTGAAGCACCCTGTGAGAGGAATCATGGATGCAGTGACAACAGGTCATTAAACAATGGTGAGAAGAGGTAATGAAACAGTAGAAAGAATGCAATCTACATTTCCTGGTCTATTAGGTGAGACTCTTGCCAGATTTTTCTTGAAATTTTGACTTATTTTAACAAATATAATGTGCAAATAAAAGGTGAAGTCATTTACATTTGAAGGAAGTACAAAGCTACATGACCAAGAAGATCATGTATAATTTTGTTGGAACATGAAGTGCACTTATTGTACTAATTTACACAGTGACACTCTAAAATCAAACTTCAGCAAAAGAATTAAGGAGTAGAAAAGCAAAATACAAACCTGTATGGCATCAACCAAGTAGTCAGAGAGCACTGAGATCCAACCAGTCAAAATTGCAAGCCAAATGATGGCTTCCCATTTGGAAATCTCAGGAACTTCTTCATCATCTGTACCCCCTTCATTTTGACCTCCTTCCTTCAGTTAAATTTAATTTTAGAACCGAAGAATGAAAAATGCCATGTTGTGTAAGAATGCACAACTGAAGATGGAAGATCAAATAAAACCAGGAAATAAATGTCAAAAAAATAACTGAACAAAACAGCAATTCATCAAAATGTAGCATAATTTTATCCAGAGTTAGCATCAACTGGAGATCATTTCTGCACAATTGAGTTTCCAAATTATAAAAGAAAAACATGTGACCTTTTTAGGAAAAAAAATCTCTGATCCTATATAATGTTCACCAATGGTATCCTAAAATCTTATGTTGGAGATCATTATAGATCAGATTTAGCAGTAAAAAACTCAATTTGAGAAAAATAAAAAGGTTTAAGTCTTTTCCAGAAGCAGCAGCTATATGCCAAAGAAACAAACTGTATCATAAAGAATACACTTGTATCAATCTAAAACCACCATAGTTATCAGGATGAAATGCCAAGAAAAATATCAAGAAGAACGGAAGGATATTGCGAAAACTGGATGAAGAACTAACCTCATTGACCCGCTCGTAGGATTCATTATGACCTTTTAGCTGGAAAACAAGGTAAAAGGCATATGCCACAAGCATTATGCAGCTGCTAAACCTTGAAAGGGCTAATTCTGATTTGCCATAATGTACTTCAGAGTGTGTGTAATGGAGAACGGCAGGGAAGAGCAAGCCCATCACTGCCATCAGAAGCAAGCCGGAGTTCACTACAGCAGCTGCCTGCCACAGAGTAGTAACAATCACTGTGACCTTCATAATTAAACCGCACAGTCCCATAATCAAATAACAGTACCTTATCGAAAACTTGGTCCTTCTTCATAAAAACAATCCCTCCGCAGAAGAATGCGCAACCAAGAACCAGCAGCATATTTGACAATATGGATCCTAGTAGCGACTGTTGAACGACCCGTATCATTCCACCTTTTAGTGCATGGACCGATATTATCATCTCTGTTGCATTTCCAAAAGTAGCATTCAGAAGGCCTCCCACTGCATGTGTGTATTTGCTAGTGTTAGAACAAAACTCTTCATCATCTGGGTGAGCATGTAACAAGGGGCTGCATATATGCAAAAGCAGAAACTATTACTAACAGTTATTGAAATGTGCAAAATATTTCTCCTTGCACAGAACAGGCCATTTGCTGCTCCTCTGGTTTGAGTAAATGGCAGGCATAATTTGTTCTATATAAATGACATTGAAGACAAAAATTCTCAGATTTAATCCTTTTTTAGTTACATTAGGAAAATTTGATCACATTAGCATCATCGAGTACTCATGAATTTGGATTACCTGAGCTGCAAAGTTCCAAGCTTGTTTCCTTGGATTGTGCATAATAAACTCTTACGACATTGAACAAATGCTAGAAGATGGATTTAGCATACAACAGTTCACTATCATGTTGATCGATACATATTGGGACTTTCAGATCTTACCGTGCCAGAATGGACTTGGAAGGTATCATCCCGAATTGTGCCAAGATGGCCATATATGATTAGGCCAATTTTTAGGTTGCGCTAGCCGGTACAAGTATGTGCCAACCAGCATGCCACAATAATTGTACCATGCCAAAAAACTATTGACATCCTATTTTTCCATGAAATGGCAATCCTTGTTCAGATGGCCATCCAGTATTGAGTGTTTCAAAAGAACCATAACCAAATTTATGCTTAAAACTCGTTATGATGCAAGCAAAGAGATGCTGGCTCTCATGTATTCTCAAGTAAGCTAAATACCATTTCAATAGATGAGAACTATAATGGCCAGCAGAGAATTAGATCTCAGTCATCGTAACTAACCAATTCGTCGAGTAGGATCACCGGATGGATGGTCAGTTTGACTAGGAAGTAGCTTGATCTAGTTTTACTTTATGCAGCTCATTAAATTGATTAATTATGTTTGACCAACTTTCATTAAAATCAAAGACAACAAATTAAAAATTTATGGAGATGTCCATCAAATAATGAAATCCAATGATAAGCAGTTTGGTAAAAAGCTAGTAATTATCAGGACTGTTTAGTATGTTTTAGTTGTTTAAATACTTCAAGTGGCTTCGATTATTGCTGTCCCAAAATACCAAAAGTGCGAGCCTTAAATCTGCAAGGAACAAAATACTACCTGTTGGTCCTGTGAAAAGTGCTAGCTGCCTGCATCATGGCAAGAACATAATTGTATCAGATTGCTAACTTATGATGCTGCATAAATGAATTGAGGAAATAATAGCTTATCTATCACGTTAATAATAGAATACTAAGCATCGTACTCTGTGGCAAAACCTAAACGCTCTGCCAATGGAATAATGCCCAGCAAGCTCAGAAAGAACACCCATCCCTAAATTCCAAAAAAATATTACCACAAGATAAATCATAAATAAAAAATAATTGTTTATATATGTTCCTACAGAAAACATCAACAACTGAAATAAAAAAGGTTTAGAGAAAATCAACTAATTTGATCCTCAGTCAAATGATGAATCACGACTGCTAAAGGTCCACAAGGCATCAATATATTTATCTTGGATGTAAACAGTATTACTTTTAAGCTCCTCAACAAGCTGGTATTGATGTTGTCGATACTTTTCTGTTGTTCCACAGCAGAGAAGGAACCATGATGAATTCCAGTCAGACCATTAGTCATTTTTGTGAGTTCCATGGGGCTAACAAGGCTTTCATCTTCAAATTCATGCTCTGATCTACCATCCATAGAACCCATCTGTGTGACGAACCAATTAACATATAAGCATAAGCAACAAACAAAAGACTTTCATGAATTAAATAATTTAAGCTCATAAAATCATATATGCAGGGTTAATTTCCTTTTTTGTTGATACGTTAAAATTTTGTTGATCTACAGTTGAAGTACTGCAATATACATTTCATCATAGACATGGAGAAAAGGCAGTATGGAGGAGGTTCTATGGAATAAGCATAAGAAAACTCACTTCAAAGTGAGAGTGAACTATGCCCAGTTGAGGTTTTTCATCAATTTTGTCCATCTGTAAAGAAAGATTGATTATGAAGAGGAACAACGACACTGCAGACATAATGGACTATGATCAGTGAAGATCTCGGACTCGAGGACTATCATCAGTAAATTTCTCGGACTCAACTTATAAATGACATGATAAACAAGGGAGCAAATTGGCATAAGATGAACATGCATAAGAAGCTTCTTCTTTGGCAGCTTTTGGTGAATAATAACGAAAATGTAGCATTTGTACATGGAATCCGAGATCAAAATTCCAATCCAATAGCACTTCAACCCATGCATACTTACTCTTATGCAGGACACACTTGTTGGAGTAATCTCCTTGTCCCCAAACTCTTAGGTTCTTGTGACCTTTTTCTGGTTCATGGAACCTCATCCACATGATAGCTTCTATATGGTCATCCGAGTCCTGAAAGCTCATCCTACTAACACTGATCTAACTTAATGTTTTTGCTCTGCCACTCTGCACAACAATTTTTGTGTTACAAGCCTATTGGATTCATTTTTTCTCTTGGCGCTTCATTGAATTTTTTGAAGCTTCCATATAAAAGCATTTTTATTCAACCTTCGAAGACCAAATTTACCTTTTCCTTTCCTTGCTATCTAAATCATGGAGTTACTCACTACTAATTCAATCTTCATATATGTTTTCATGGTTTTGGTTGCTCTGCAATGATATTTGATGATCAAATGTCAACAAGCCCTGTTTCTTTTTCCCAAAAGTCAAGAGGCCCATGACCAGTTAAGTCAGCTACCTGCTGCCTTGCCTCCTCCTATAGATGTTACAAACAACAATCTGAATGCCTCTTCAAAAACGATGTCTCGAAGAACCATGCTTCCCTTTTCTAGATAGCTCATTCAATCCATCCCCTAAATATTCAATGAGCTGTTTTTTGTGACAATTTTGAAGTACAGAATCCCTTCTTCATAGTGTTCATCCATTTATGACCTTAATTGCCTAACATATACCAATTTCTCTCCTTTAAAGGAAGTAAGCAAGCAATAAGTTATTCTCATTCTGCTCTTTAGACCAGCCAGTCTGTGGAATCAGATACCTTCACCCACTTGTTAAGTGAAGATAGCGCTAAGTAATATCGACTTTAATGCAAACAACACCAATTACTGCAGAAACTCCAATTGCAGTGTCTTTAGCAGAGAGACAAAACAATATGTAATTCATGCAACACACAAGAAATCAAACCCACAATGAAAATTCTAAAGCCAATGCTGGATACCTTAAATGATACACATGTTTGGTGATTGATTACTAGTGTAAAGTTGGGAAAGAATCCAATTCTTAGCCTCAACTCATCCTCAACACAAAGGGTTGCAGGACTTCCCTCATGAACCAGTGAGGCTACTCAAATAAGGAAGACAAGAAATAAGCCAAAGAAGAAGAAAGAAGCGAAATTGCTTTAACCCATTCGCACCTCAAGGCATGAAAATTTAGAAGATCAATGCAAAGTAGGTACATCCCAAGAAAACGAAAACATCGACAGCGGTACACAAAGAAAATGGAAATGGTGGATGGTAACCTTCGAAGACGTTTGCGAATCGAAGCCGACCCGCAGCTTCCCGCTCATTTCCTTGATTCCGAAATGAAAACGTATCGCCTTCTCTTTTGTGCCGATCCTAAGGTTGACTAATTCTGTGAGAAAACCAAGAGTGCAGAAGGAAGTTTCCTCGAGGTTGAACGTTAGAAAGGCGAGCAGTGAGAAGAACAGAGGAAGGGAGTCAGACGCGGGCGGTCAGAAGACGAAGCAGAGAAGAGCGGAGAGAGAGCAGGTGGTGGGACAAAGGGGGGTGGGGGGGGGAAGGGGAGAGGGTACAATTCTTTGGGTTGCGATGATCCAAGGTGGAATCTTGGAAGCGGTCGTTCTCTTCTCCTTTACTTCGGTGGGAAATGCTTCCTTCTTCGCCTGCTTCGTCGTTTTCGTATCCCCCTACCGCTTGCATTAAACTGCGGCATTTCCTTTGTTTGAAGGCGACGCGAAGGCTAACGGTCTCCCGCAACCAGCGGTTTGGTCGTGCGTCCGAGCAACTCCGCGTACATTTCGATGGCGTTGAAATTTCGTACCACTCACACCAATATATACTGCGTATTTACTTATACTTTATTATATATATATATATATATAAACAAATATCAAAATTACATATTTACCCCTTTATTATTATTATTATTAGCGGATATATTTTTGTACAAATATGCGATAAATTCAAAATTAAAAGGATAAATACAAAAATCACTGATTTGATTTATCAAATATGTTTTTTTTTGCAAGAGAAATTTATAATTAATTTACTTTTTGGTATGATTATGATCACAATCGCATTACTCAACGATTAATAGGTCTTAAAGTTGACTTTGAATAAGTGCGTCTTCTTTAGATATTTAAAGAAAAACAATGTAATGGGAACAATTTCATGTAGATAGTGTGAAAGTAGAGGGGTTAATTAGTCATAATTGGTTGGCCACATTACGATTGCTATTTCTTGGTAGGTCGTGACAGCAATTAATTGTGCAAGATTTCGGAAGCATATCGACATGCAGAAAGCATTTTGCGGCTCCCGCAGAATTAAATTATCAGAATTATTTTATGAGACATAATATTATATAATTCAAAAATAAATTAGTTTTTTCTCTTTCTTCTTCACTACAGCCATAGATTTCTATGTTTGGTTGGATTTGACGTTGGCTTTGACTTCACACTGCAGTGAAATCTTGACCCAACTTATAAGCATCACTTACGTGGGCCGAAATTGCTCGGCCCAATTTCTTGGTTGTCGTACTTTTGGGCTCAATGTTCATAATTCCATTTTGTTTACGTGGGCCAAAATCCTTTTACTTTCCTGAATGTGAATTAAATTTGCAGAGTCTGATTCAAATTACTGTTTCATCTATTGTTCAGCAGCCCATTTCAGAGACACAGAAGGATAGATTGTAGAAATCTTTGCTTGTTCCTACTATCATTAGGAGTTTCATGGTTCATGCCTACTTTAATGCAGATCTCCTTTTCCCCTATTTGCAGGGCAAAATTTCTTATAATACAGGAAAAGAAAGCAAAGAGAAAAAAAAGGGTAAAAGTTGGCAGTCATTAATTCAAAAGTTTCACCCTCATCTTGGATCTAAAGCTGAAACATAAGCTTTTCTGACAGATTTTTCAAGAGGATCTCTTTTTCTAGGGTAGTCCATGGCATCTTTTGTTTGCATATGTACAAGGAGGGGGTGATCCTCTATGAATTCTTGTTGGCATGTGCAGGAAAAAGAATGACACCTTTGAAGTAGAACTCAAAAGATTGATTTGGCACAGCCTTTTTATTTGGTCTTTGGCTTCTTCTATCCTCCTTTCACATCAGTATTTGAAATAGCCAATGCTTCAGTCTTACTTGAAGCTCCATATGGTTTATATATATATATAGTATTCAATGAATCGATGCAGAGAAATCACTGGCACTTCATTTACTCTTACCTCCAGTCTTTTTATATGCTGTCAATCACGACTTTGTGAAGAAAGCAGGTAGAGTGAAAGCTGGAAACATGTAAAGCAGGTTCTGCTTTGGAGTGAACAGCTTGTTCTCTTTTTACGTTGGATTTGTTCTTACATCACCTTCTTCGTTTATCCGGTTCGAGTCAGCTCACCCAGCTGTTTTCTGATCACTGAAGAGATTCAATTATGATCAGGCTGAGTGACAATCTAAAACTATTACAGGAGCAGATCAAATCCCAGCACAGATTCCTGACGTTTGAGAGAAAACAAATAGTGGTCGGATGAGTAGATGAGCAAAGAGGTCCCCTTTGGATGTGCCATTATCTATGACAGATACACGGAGAGCCATCTTCCCGGCACATAATAAAGGCCTTTAACTCTCGGCTCATCCTGTTGTCTCGTGAGCTGTTGTCCTGTCCCACTTTTGTGTACATCGAAGCAGCACTGTGGAACTCTGTAGTTTGCTTGGAGCAATTGATAGATTCTGGTGGGTTTTTGCAGCTCAATCTCCAGTGTCACATAGATTCATGGAGGCAATCCATGGATGTGAAGTTCTTCAAGCAACCATGTAATCGGCGTGTTAATACGAAGATTTGGTAGGAAATGATTGCTGAGAATTAATATTAACAGCCATGTGATGCGATGAACACACTTCGACCATTTTGATGTGGGCTGCTGCTGCACGTTCACCCTCAATGATGCTGCTTGCTTTTGTCCATTGCTTGCTGGAGACGGCCGCGGAGCAGAGCTGAGGTCAAAGCAAAAGCGCCTTTAATATCACTTCGTCTTCCCTTTGCGTCCGAGGAGAGAACGTGGATTCGTTTCTTCCCCTGAGATAGCAAGTAATCCCTGCCAGCACTCGGCATCGATTGGGAGAGAAGACTGCACTCGGCAAGCTTCTTTCACCCCTCCTTTCCCTCCGGTGCCCTCCGTGGGTGTGACCTGTGGAAGAATACAAAGTGGTTCACTCTGCTCCCCTGTCGGGCTCGCTTTAATTTATTGCTTCACATGCATGTAGCATGTGGACGGCAAGGCAGCTTAGAGAAATGGCTTGACCAGGGAGGAAGATGCGACCTAAAACGAGCTTTGGTGTAGTAATTATGAGGGGGAAATGAATCCCTCACACACGGAAAAAGGAGGTGATTGGGTGGATCCGACCCATGGAGAGATCCCCCGGGAACAGCAGGTGTCAGGCACCGACTCAATAAAGAAGGGGAGGGAAGAGACATGGAAGGGTGGCGAGGGCCAGCCTTAGCTGGAACTCTCGGGGGAGGGGATGAGCTTGCTTGGACCGTGGTCTCGCTGTTCCTGGTTTCTGCTGCTAAAAGACATGGGAGCTGTACGTTGGTGATCCTACACTTCTTCCTTCTGTGTCCCTCTCCGGTAACTCTCGAAGTCCAACTTGAGTCCCAATCCCAGTGTTACTGTTACAGCGCTAGTCTTCATACAAGACGATAAAAGTCACAGTCGCGGCAGTGCATTTAATAGGGGAGGTGAGCAAGGAGCAGAGAGAGAGAGGCAAGGCAGACATCCCGACGCAGTCTCTCACCTTCGTCCTTTCCGTCATCCATGTGATTTGGCCCCTCTCTCTCTCTCTCTCTCTCTCTCTCTCACAAACGCACACACAGGCAGCTGTTTTTGATTTGGTTTCTTTCTCTCAGAGCTCGGTTAGCGAGGGGAGATGAGATGGCCCCTATCAAGCTCTTCTTCTTCGTTCCCTGCCTCGTCTTCTTCCTCTTGTCGGCTGCTGTTGCTGTGCTTGGGGTGAATGAGGGAGAGGACGAGACCATGGAGGGCGGCGGTGTGAGCTTGGCGGTGGACCCGAGCTTCCAGTTCGCGAACTCGAGGCTGAGAGACGCCTACATTGCGCTGCAGACGTGGAAGCGCACCGCCATCTTCTCCGACCCGCAGAACCTGACGGGCAACTGGGTTGGCCCCGACGTGTGCTCCTACTTCGGCGTATATTGCGCCGCCTCCCCGGACGATCCCTACCTCACCGTCGTCGCCGGCGTCGACCTCAACCACGCCGACCTCGCCGGGTACCTCCCAAAGGAGCTCGGCCTCCTCTCCGACCTCGCCCTCCTCCACCTCAACTCCAACCGCTTCTGCGGCACCGTGCCCCCCACCTTCGACCGCCTGCGCCTGCTATTTGAGCTGGACCTCAGCAACAACCGCTTCGTCGGCAAGTTCCCCGAGGTGGTGCTCCACCTGCCGGCCCTCCGTTACCTCGACCTCCGCTTCAACGACTTCGAGGGGCCCATCCCTCCGGGGATCTTTGAGCGGCCCCTCGACGCCATCTTCCTCAACTCCAACCGCCTCCGCGCCGGTATCCCCGCGACCCTGGGCTCTTCCCCCGTCTCCGTCCTTGTCCTCGCCAATAACGACCTCGGCGGGTGCATCCCCTCTTCCATCGGCGGCATGGCCAACACGCTTAACGAGATCATCCTCCTCAATGACAACCTCACCGGCTGCATCCCGCTCGAGGTCGGGCTGCTCCGCCGCGTAACCGTCTTCGACGTCAGCTTCAACCGCCTCCAGGGCCCGCTGCCTGAGTCCGTTGCCGGCATGCAGAGCGCCGAGCAGCTGGACGTCGCGCACAACCGCCTCACCGGGCGCATCCCCCCGGGCGTCTGCGACCTCCCCAGCCTCCAGAACTTCACCTACTCTTACAACTTCTTCACCGGCCAGCCGCCGTCCTGCGGGCGTGCCGGGAGGGCGGTGGCGTTCGACGGCAAGGTGAACTGCATCCCCGGCCTGCCGGACCAGCGCTCTCCCAAGCAGTGCTCCTCCACGGCCGCGCATCCCTTCGACTGCCGCAAGTCCAAGTGCTGGAGTGGCGGCGCCGTGCCGTCCCCTTACACCAAGCCGCCTTCCCCTATGCGGCCGCCGAAGTATGCTTCTAGGAGACGGCAGCTACCGCCGCCGCCGGCTCCGGTCGGGGGCAAGAGTCGAGGCTACTTTAAGCGAGCATCGCCACCGCCGCCGCAGTACGAATCATCGCCTTCCACAAGATCTCACCCCCCGCCACTACCGTCATACTCGCCGAAGCAATCGCCGCCGCCATCACCATCGGGCTACCATGCTTCTTTACCACCACCTGCCCCTCCTACGCACGGCTACGAACCAGCAAAGCCTCCCCACATCCCATCGCCACCCACAACTGTCTCACCTCCAACGCAGTATTATCCAACGCCGTCTCCTGTCCCTGTTCAGCCTCCGACATATACTTCTCCTCCAGTTGCACCGCCATCACAAAAGCCATGGCAAGCTCCACCACCACCAGCAGGGTACTCGTCACCGCCTTTGCCCAAGTATGCTCCTCCGCCATTGGAATATTCGTCGTCACCACCACCTCCGCCGCCCGTGGTGAAGCCATCTCCTCTTCCGCATGAACATCCATCTCCTCTGCCATCTACACCTAAGCAATCTCCCCCGCCGTCGCTTCCACCACCGTCAGAACTGCCACCGCCACCAGCACCGCCCAAGCGCCACGAGGAGCCTGCGCCGCCAATACTACCCCCTGTTGTGGGCGTGTCGTATGCTTCGCCACCACCGCCGGTGATACCCTACTACTGATCGCGCGCGGCAAACTCGTCTCTCTGCTACTCTTCTCCCTATATCTTCCTCCAATTCCTTCTTCTTTGTTAATTGATCATTACAACTAGATATTCTTTTTGTTCTCGCCCTTGTTCGTCGTCGTTCGCTTGTGCAATGCATCGGAGCAAGTATTATTGCTCGGATTAGCTTTCCCTGCTGCGTTTACATCTCTATGTGACATGATCTTGTCAATGCCATACTATTATAAGCATGGACTACTCTTTCTAAGATTGGCTGAGAAGCCATTTTTCGTTGAAGCTATACATACTGCTGCACCATGGCGTGTATTTAACATGGACGTGGCCACGGGCATGCGTGGCGCCGGTGGCTCACAGGCTGCTCGAAGCCGCAGTGTTCAAAGACGGTGATGGGTTGATTAAGCACGCAGAAAGCGATGCCAATCTCACCTGGAACACCTCCATTTTTCCGAGCGTTATCATCTCTGATGAAAGCTGCATGTGAGGCGATTAAGACTGTGCAGTGCCAATTATTATTGGATGCGATGAGCCCAAGCATGAGCGGCAGGGGAGAGAAGCGGGGAGACATGGAGGACAGGGTGGGCCGTGGTGGTGGGGTCGGTCGTCGGTGGGATGCTCGTGTCGTGTCTCGAGGACGTGGTCCGTGCACGCTGCGGGCGCCGCGGTGCGCTGCCTCCCATTCTCACTCAGGTGGGCACGGAAGAGCCATCATCGCCATGAAATGTAGTCGTCCACCTACCAACCGGCGGCGCTGCTGCTGCTAGTGGCCATTCGTGGAACGAAGTCTCAGGCATTCGAATTTTTCACGGCTCGCTTGCAAATGGGAAACCATCCAATAATTAATGTCTTAATCAAGTACAATTGTAACTCCATCTATTTAATTAGCTTAATAAATTCAAATTATTTATCCAAAATACTTAACTTATAATTTAAAAGCTGTTCTAAAATCCTACATCAACTTAAATTATTAAGTCAAATCACTTGTTCAAAGTACCAAAGTCGGAGTCAATGTTAGTACACCATTCAATTCTTATAAATCAATTCAATTCCAACCAAATCGAGATGTTACATTTACCAGAGGAGCGTTCATGATTTGCCATGGCTAGAATTACAAGGCAAAGCACATGCATTCTCACATTGAGTTGCCATCACATACGGTTAGCAAGATAGTAATCATAACCAGAGAGACATAGTGCATGCATAGTCGCATCGATTTGCCATCAGACATTATTTAGCAATACAGTCAACCAGTAAACGATGACGAGCAAAACTTTGTACTGAGATCCAGAAATTCTATGAAATGGAATTAAAAATATGGTTTTGTCGTTGACAATAACTTTGTGCACACACATGAGTGTCCTTAAAATTGAGCATGAGTTAGAGTCAAATATCAGAGTTGACATCAATTCAATCCATGTCTAAACATATTAAGTCGTGAGTTAGACCAACACATGTCATCCGACTCTTTTAAATCTTATAAATGTGAGACTATATGGTGCATAATCAGCCATCTGATCATTGCTTGGTCACACAGGAGGGACGGCATCAGGTTCCTCGTCGGTGCTCAATAAAATTCTGCAGATACCATCAATGAAACAGGAATGTCAATATACATCTGAGTAGGAAAGTGCAAATTCAGGACAAGAAAACCATGGAAATCACTTACTCTTTGTTTCAAGTTCATTTAGTTCCTCCATGCATAAACAAAACACAGAAATGCTCATTTCTGATGTTTTGGTGCAGTACACTGATTTAAAGAAATCTCTCAGCCCTGTAACCCTTATAAGAGAAATGATACATGCACTTCCATAAATTCAGAACGCAGACTAATTTGATGCCGATGCAGTCCTGAATGGCACTAGCGTCCACGGATAGCTAAGCAACCTGAAATCACTGAATGCCACATTGAATAGCCTAGCTCCAATAGTATTATTTATCATCACCATCAGGATTCAATCATCGATCTATTAAACTTTCTCTACCTAATATAAACATATCCATTTACATAACAAATAAGACATAATGACAAAACATCATACAATGAGAAGAGAGTTAGATGGATCAGCATGGACATGAATCATGTTACTAAGCACCATTTTCCTCTACACACAGAAAATCCTTTCGAATGAGTTTTCAAATTTTCTAAACATGAAACTTTGGGTCTACGATCACATATCTATCGGACTTTCACAATATGCTAAACGATAATGCACCCAGGGTACTAATGTAGGACAAATCTTGGTAAACAATCTTCTAAAATTTTCCGAGCTTTATTCGAGCAATTTGGAGAATTGTAGAAGTATTCATAAATCTCAATGTAGCACCAATTTGGAAAGGTAGTATACTTCCTTAACACTGCCTTGCAATGGGGGAAGGGTGAGAATAATCCAGATACATTCTCCAATTAAAACATTGCCTTGAAATTGGGGAAGTGTGGAAAGTAATACAAATCATCCAATTAAAATATTGGCTTGCAATGGTCAGAAGTAATACGATTCCTCTAATTAAACTATGGCACATCATGGTATGATAATCAACCCAATTCCTCTTATATAAGGCTTATGATGCACCATGTTATTTTGTATTCATTAGCAGTATAATCTATGCCCCATGGTACTGAAAATTGTGACCTCTCCATCAGTCTTATTTCAGAAGGTGCAGTTTGCTGCATATAGAAAACTAGAATTGGGCCCTTATGTATTCAAAAAGTGACACATACCCAAGTGCAGCATTGTTTCTCAAAAAACCACAAAATAGTAGGCTGTACTCATTCTAATTTTTGGGGCCTCTATTATGAACCCTCCAAGGATGAAGCCAGAAATATGTTTCCCATCAGCCATGACTATCCTACAAACATCTCCGTCTTCATAGGAAAAGAAAAAGAGATCATTCTTTACCACCTTCAAGCGGTCGAGTTATTATCCGAAAACAAAGAGCATGTCTCAGATTCTGTTGTAATGTGATCAGTAGCCTACAAACCGAATCTTGGTGCATAGTGAAGAAAGAAAACACCTTTCATCGAGGACCCAACACTACATGATGCTAATATTGCTGGGATCTCAAAACTTCTGGGTTAAGAAACCCATCCAAAGTGATTGATGACCCATGGGGACACAACACCATTTGATCAAAATCGCATACGTTTTCCCTTTCTACTCCTCGCTACCATCTAATTAATCGTGCGTCATAGTTAGTCAGTTTGACTATAACATATCACAGACGGCCATTGTATCAGAGTTCCATTTTTTGGGAATCGTAATCATCTAAAAATTGTCTCGTCGGCAGATCCGATGCAACTTGTTAGGGGAAGTAAATAGGAGCGATCGGCAAATGCGTATGGTGAATACGACGACCGAGCAATTGACGGGTCACTAATTAATTGTAACTGCAGGTAGAAGAGGAGCCAAGAAGAGGACCTGGAAGAACGGGATCTCTTGGTCGAGCCGGGGGATGACGGCCGACAAACGCGGTGCTTCCCTAAGAAGTCGCCCGTCCGCTGCCACGACCGCGCCTCCGTCCCGGCCTCATCTCCTTTTCCTCATCATCTTTTCTCTCTTCTGCTCCATCCATCCGCTTCCTGAATTAAAATTTTAAATAATTATTCTCATATAATGTTTTTGAAAAGATTAAAACCTTCACCAAAACACAATCAATTATTAAAGAATATTATAGTCGAAACAAATGGCTCCAACGCCAAACAAAAACTAACTCAAATAAAATATTTTTTTTTTAAAAATCATTATTGATTTAGAAACAAAAACAAAAATATTTTCGAGCGTTTTGAAAAAAGAAATAATTATTGTTTTCATATATTATTTATAATAAATCGGAATAAGAATATTTTTTTTAAAAAAGGAGAAATTATTTAATCCTATATCACAGTCTTATACATCTCCAATTGCAATGGGAAAACTTACCTCTCCAATTGTATAATAGCTTAATGTTGAGTTCATGTTGCACAACATGAACTCATTGCAACATTAACTTTTGTAGTCTCCATCCTTTGTGATATATTCAAAGATTTATATATAGTCATTCTCCTGGTATTTATACTTGCACCAAATAATTTGTAGAAGCTTTTACCTTCATCTGAAGTTTAGTGATAAGATATATTTTAAATCCAAGATACGACAAGTCAAAATCAGTATCAAAACGTTATTTGATACCCCCCACATGCTAACTCGAGAATCAGCAAGGGGAGCATCCCAAGGCTTGGTCGACCTCAGCATCTAGCTCAGTCGATAGAAGACTCTCGATATCGACCCGTGGATCAGTCACGACACATCTGTTCATCAACATTTAGCACAATTTCATTACTATAAGGTTTCTTACCGAGCAGTTGTTTTCATCTTCTTAAGATCTGGTCAAACAAAGGTTCTTACTGGCAAAATAATTTAAGAAGCTTCTTTAGATGTGTACACCATGACCTGCACAAACTTATATTTCCTTTAACCTTCTTTGAGATCTGCGCAATACAGTAAAACAATGGAAGAACAAGCTAAAAGACAACAATGTGTTCCAGAAATTCAAGTCAAACCAACCTCCCTAAAGCTGTGGCATTCTTTCCTACTGTGTTGAGATGTTCCTTGAATCGAGAGCGTTGCTTTCCCATGTTCTGTGGCACATGAGTCTAGGGACTATGTCTGTATCTTATCAAGCCAAAGAAAGAAGCATTGAGATGGTAATTGCAGATGGAGGTTGAATGGCCGGTGACTGCCGCAAAATCCAACGTTCAAGTTGCTAATATCACATGCATGCACGATGCAACTCGCAAGGAGTTCTCGGAAGGCAGTCAAAGATGAATCACATGTTTTCCTGCATTCTCTACAGGAGTGAAAGAAACGAGATAGATAAAGAACAAACAACACACAGAGATTCTCGACGAGAATCCAATGATTTGGATGCTCAAACACGGTACTCGTAGTCTTACATATATAGCTTAAGCAGCACGTCATTTGCACATAGCTGCAAGAAGAGAGAGAAAGAGAGATCATGAAGGAAGAAGGCAGATCTTTGTTAGTTGCTGCGGCTGCCGCAGTCACACTCATCTTGCTGATACTCCTCCTCAGCTCTCCATCTTCCCTCAACTGGAATGACTGCAATGGTGGTGTAGCTCAAGCAAGGAAGCTGATTGCGGTCGAAGTGACACCCCAGTCCTCCCCAAGACACAACGTCACGATCAACGTCGACGACGTTGGCATGATACCGGCTAGACAGGTAGGGATAGACTTGAGGAGGATACCACCTTCGAGCTCCAATCCGACACAAAACAAGTAAGCTTCATCGTCTCCAACCTTTTTCCCTCAACTGCTGCTCCTCATCAATCTGTAACCGGTTCTCAAGGGACTTGTTCTTGTGTCAGGTCACGGCCTCGGTATACCGCCCCGGGGAACTCGCGATGACGGCTTATAGATAATAGATGAAGCGTAGTTGAGACACAATTACATGTAGGCAGATGTTCCGCTTAAGACTGCATGTGTAGCTTAGAGATGAGAGTAGCAAGCGTTAGGAGCAGGAGATGGGCAGTCAGTCTGTGTGTGTGCTTGAATTACATCTGCGTGAAGCTTATAAAGCATGACAAAGATCATGACATGTGTTATCCTGAAAGAGATCCTTTAATTTCAATAAGATTTTATTGATCTCCCCTCTCCCCTCTCCCCTCAACCAACAGTTGATATTTGCTAGCTGCTTGCATGACTTTCATGTTGAATATGGATTCCCGTCTTGAATTACTCAACTATAAAAAATGGCAATGGTGATTTTCATCGATATATGTTATCCTTTGTATAATTGCACCATCAAATGAAGCTTTTGCAACCTTGTTTTAAACTCTTGGACTTGAGAAAGATGACGGTAGAAGGTGTCTCTTTCAGTTTAATTCAGCAATGTATTATTTTAGATCATAGCAGTTCTTAGTATAGTGACCATGGTTGTACTTTTATTCTATCTCTTCTTAGATGTGAAGATTTCGTGGGCTAAGACATTTGAAGGAATACTTCAGTAGTATGGAAAATATTTAGGTGAATTGATTCTCTTCTGTGCGGTGCACAGTCTTCCTGAGGAGGTCTTTTACTCGAGACAAATTATATGAGGTCAGTCGGGAGGTGTGTTCATCTTTAATAGGTTTCTTCTAGTTGACTTTTTTCTTGTTTTTTTTCTTCCGACCACCAGAGATTCTACCATAATATATTATTGAATGACTTTTTATAATATCTCCGGATATTTGGTTGATGGCTTTTTTGAGAATGGATTTGAATAAGTATGGAGAGGATAAAAGGTGTGGAGACAAATAAACACATAAGTTTGAGATTATCTTTATTTCTTTAATGAACCTCTTAGTATGGCTTGCCGGAGATTTATTTTCTTCTTATTGAATTGCGAGAAGAGAAATTGTAAACTTTTTAATAATTTGTAGTTAATAAAGTTAAGCTTTAACTCGTTTGATACCTACTTGAAAAATTGATAAAGTTTATAGACTAGTGTGTATGCCACTCTCGAGTTAAGGTATTAAAAAAAAATTAACATATGAATTCTTCGATAGTGACGTATAATGCCACTAGAGCTACTAAAGTTGCAATGTATTAAGATGGATCCAAAATTTAATCAAAAGTGTCTACAGTAGAGGAATGTCTTGGGTAACAAGAGATTGTATATAGGGATCAAACTTATCAAACTTTTTTCATTGTTTGATTTTTCATATCATATCCATGAGGTTATTCTCTCATATTTAGGGGTAATCCAAACGAGGAGTGTATCTCAGATTTAGTAGGTGTGCTTAACAAAGGTTTATGAGTTTGTGAGGGATTAAGAGGACTTAGGACTAACTAGAGAGTATTTTCTCATATTCAATTAAGAATGCACTATGGAGCTTTTTATAGTGTGTTAAGGTGAATATTGAGTAGGACTAAAGATTAATTCAAAAAAAGATTAGGTAGAGTATCTCACCATTATTGAGCCATAAAATCATACGTCGAACCATTAAATATTGTAGTATAAGATAATGGTTCACGTTAATATTGGAGAGTGTTGACTATCGTTCTATTTATGATAATTTTATCAATTTGAAAAATAAAGGTTTTCTAAAAAAAAATGATACTATGTAGAAAAAAAATAAATATTGTTTTTTCTAAAAAATTCACCCTACATATAAATTCGTATGATGGACTCATGAAAATGATAATCGCTCATTGAGATATTTCTCTAATCTAAGTTTCGATGGGTAAAACCAGTTTAATTGAATTAAATGATTTCAAAAAAAGAAAGAAAGAACGGAAAAGATAAAAAAAAGTAAATAGGGTACTTTTGTTATTTTGAAAAATAAAGGATTTTTCAAAAAAAAAAATAACATTAGGATGCTCTAGAAAAAAATAAAAATAAAAACTTCTCTAAAAAAATCACCCAACATATAATTTCATACGACGGATCTATGAAAATGACAATCTTTCTCCCTATGAGATTCCAAATAATCGAAACACTTCCCCCAATTCAAATGAGGAGAGATCGAGTTCAATTCCTTCTTATTATGGGATTCCTAATCCTTCTTCCCTTACAAATCTCGGTCCATCTTACTCCTCTTAATATATAATGGATAGTTCTAGTCCTTCGATCTCCTATCGCTATAATGGTCGGTCCGCTCAAGAACACCTGCAGCATCAACCTCGTTGTTCTGAAGAAGCTCGCAAGTAGGAGCTGTCTACTTCCAGACGACGTGCTCATAGAGATTCTCTCCTACCTCCCGGCGAAGACCTTCTTCAAGTTCCTGTCTGTCTGCAAGACCTTCCGCCAACTCTCGTCAAATTCCCATTTCCTCCTTTCACAGTCATACCACAGCAAGGCCATCTCTGGCTTCTTCGTCCAACGCTACTCCACCTACAGGTCCCTCCTCCTTATTGACCCCTACGCTGGCATTCCCAGGAGTAGCCTCGATTGTCTGAGGAATCGCAACACAAGAATCCTCGGGTCAGCCGGTGGCCTCGTCTTCGTCTGGCATAGGAATGACGGATCGTTCAATGCTACCACCAGTAGCTTATTTGTCTACAATCCAGCCCGTAGGACTCGGTGCCATCTTCCCTCTCCGCCAAGCAAGTGTCTCCGAGGCGGCATCGCTGTGAGATTCATGACCGACATCAACAGGTTGACGAAAGACTACAAGCTGGTCTACCTATCACCGACCGGCCAAAGCTCGTTGTACCACTGTCAGGTGTATGACTCGGCGGCAAGGGCATGGACGATGAACAAGCAACTAAATTGCGGGTGGAGGGCACTAGATTTGCAGCACCCAGTGGTCAACGGCGAGACCGTATTTTGGGTGTCGACCTTGCGAACGCAAGTGGTGATCGACCCGTATGTCTTCGCCTTCAATATGAGGACGGAATGCACGGAGACCATCGAACTACCGCAAGAAGCAACCGTCAGAGACGCCGACACAATCGGGATTGCCGAATGGGAGCGGAGTACAATATGCTTGATCCATTACGGGAGTCTCTCTCAGGTGTTCGCTCTGTGGTTACTGAGGGAGACAAGAAACGGTGTGCCAAGATGGATGAAAG